TCATTCAAAAACACTAAACACAAAAAACATATAAATTCAGACATACTTTAATTGTTAGTTATTTAAAATTATTTAAAAATGAATATAGTTAGCATTGTTAACTTGTAGCTTGGCTGTAGGCCTATTTAACTACTTTTTAAAGGGGTCATGTGATGCGATTTCAAGTTTTTTTCTTTGGAGTTTTACAAGCTGTTCCTGAATAGATAAGATCCCTAAAGTTGCAAAGACTAAAGTCTCAAACCCAAAAAGACATTCTTTATAAAAGTTAAGACTGGTCCACGCCCTCCTAAAACGCCTCGTTTAAACACGCCCCCACATGTCTACCGGCGCGATGCAATGCAACGCTTAAAAAGACAGCATAAGTCATTATAATCCGTAATCATGTCCCCACTGGATGCAACAAATGCCTCGTTTGTAATGGGTTTTAATGTTTTTGTCTCGTCGCTCCGGCCGGGACACAGCATCACAGTGTGGTGAGGGGCGTAAAATTTCCGTCACACGCTTGAGGTATTCGGCCAATCACAACGCACTGGATAGCTGGCCAATCAGAGCACAGACCGATGAGCTTTGTAAAAATCGACGCGTTTCAGAAAGGCAGGGCATAGAAGAGAAACAATAATATACAGTATGTAGAAAATAATGTGTTTTTTGAACTTTAAACCGCATAAACACATTTCATTACACCAAATACACAAATTAATGTTCTCTTTAGCAACATCATATGACCCCTTTAAGTAGTTTGTAGCTGCGAGAACTAGTTTCAAAATAGCTTCCCCAGTGGTTTTCGTGGACACAGACATAGCTTACTGTTAGGTCCTTCGCTGATCTGACCTGTTTATGATGCTTTATTCACAACAGAGCCAAAGAAAAAGCTGCTGGTCTTTCAGAAGAGGATGAAGGAATAGTCAAAGAGAACGGAACCGCACTTTCAGGTCTTGGCGGGAAAGAAGGCGTCTATAATCAAACGTTCTCAAATGACAACCGCTTCACCGAGCTGTAGACACTGATGACAGCCAAAGTGAAATAGTAAAGCCATTCAGTATCACTGAATAACCTATAAAATGCTTCACATATAACAAAGAATTTATAGCCTCCTCTAGACTGTCCTGGAATGCACAGAAATAAGATTGAGTATTTATATATTACTTTGTTGAGTTTTGCGGCTGTTAGTTTGAAAGCTAACACCGTGTCCTAATCAAACGTGATGCAATGCCATGACACATGTTTTTGCCTTAAACAGCCGCGACATGGATTCGGTTTTAGAAATGGAAAAACTGATTGTTTTGAGAAATTGTTTTAGAAATTGTTTATTTCTGCAGGTGGAAAAACATACAAACTATGACAATGATAATCTCAGGAACTGATTAAGTGCTTTATTATTATTATTAATGTTAAAAGTGTCTAATATGACCTGGAATATATAGCCATACTGAAAATGACAATGGAAAATTTACCTCAGATCTTGAAAATAAATGTAAGAAAATATTAATGTTATAACTGTGATCTCAGTGTGAAAAAAATTGTTTCAGTCACTCAGTATGTATTTTTAAATAATGTTAAAATGGGTTAATATTTATGTATTTGATTATGTACTTGTACTATGGAAGTTCCGCCATGGAACATTAACAAAAATAGGAAAAAGGTACATTCAATTTTTATTTTTTTCTCTGAATTTAGTTTATATCTCACAATTAGGAGTTTATTTCTCGGAATTCTGAGCGAAAAAAAGTTTTTATTACAATATATAAATTCTGAATTGCGAGAAAAAGTCAAAATTGTGAGATATAAATGTAGAGTTATGAGATATAAACTCAGAATTGCAAGAGATAAAATCAAATCTTTGAGAAAAGGTCAGAATTGAGAGGTTCAGACTTGCAATTGCGAGTTATAACTTGCAGTTGTGGGAAAAAGTCTGAATTGTGAGATATAAACCCACAATTGTGAGGAAAAAAAAAAAGTAATTGACTTAAGTTGCAATTATCTTTTTAATATTTTTATTTTGTGACGGAAATGAACTTAACTTATCTATTTGATTATGTACTTAACTATTTTGTTCTCAGAGAGAAAGACCCACCCACACGCTCTTCTGATTGGCTGACGCATTTCATAGGTTAGGACATGGTGTAACATCAATATACTAGTGTACTACTAAAAGCTGTCAAAAATAGTTAAAAGTAGTTAATTTTTTGCTTTATAACAAAGCCCTTCAATATGTCCCACCCCCAACTTCCTGTTTAAACAGGGCGATATGTCAACTCAGGAAAGAAAACTGTGCTTGTCAAACATTTCATGAGGTTTTTAATTCAGCTGACAACGGTAATCCGTAGCATATTCTGACGTCTGAATTATGTTCTCAGGTGCCTGTTTATTCAGCAACAATTCATAATTAATTATTAGAGGGAATCAATAATTTATGAAAAGATGAGGCACTTCTACACAGTAACAGATTAGGCAATTTTCTAGATTCAAAAACAAGCGTTTTTTTTCTTTCTTCCCCATTATGAGATGTGGGTTTGTGCATCTATCACACTTCAACAGCCTTAATTGATTGGATCCTCCACTGAGTGGGAAAGAAGATTGAAGAATATTAAGAGAAGATCTCTCTGAAGAATATGAGATGTTGAACTTCTGAGAACGTTCCTATCATGAGATTTACGGCACAATCTTTCACTAATTGGATCCTCCGTCTTCAGAACCACACACAGGGCTACAGTCACAGAAATAACAGACCAATATCACAAGAAAGCTCATTATTGTATTGATGCCCTGTAGGAATACAGAATCCAATACAATAGATAATCACTCCACACCTGCTGCTGTGTTTAATAAGTTATTCAGGTGGTAGTTAATGATCTCAGCTGCTAGGTTCAAGGTTCAAACCCCTGTTATTGTAATACCTAAACGTGTACTCAAACTTGTAATTTTAGCGCACACATATTCTTTTTACATTTGGATACTCACTGATACGTACAATATTATTGTACTAACAACAAAACACGAATACCTTGCATATATAACTTTAGAAAAATGATTAAATGTTTAAGGGCTATACAATATTGAACATTTGGAATTCAAAAATTGATTGTATTGAATTAATAATAAATTTGATTATGTTAATGATAATACAGTAAGTTTATTTAACATCTCATTTTGTATTAAAACTGCTTTATTTTATGTTCTGTTTTTTAAAGGTTAGACTGGTCACAATAGTTTGCTTTAGCCAAAAAAAAAAAAAAAACAATTTATTTTTTATCTT